ACATATTTCATCCCAATAATTAACTATTTGCAAGATCTAAGACAGGCCCTTCAGGCACGTAGCAACAGGGGGGCCTGTCCCCCCCCCCCACTTTTTTCCCCAACATAACATTTACTATAGAAAATGTCCATTGAAGAGATGGTTGCCCCCCCCTCCCACTTTTTACCACAGTGTATATTATAGGAAGGAAATATAGGAAAAAATTGGTAGTGAAAGGAAGTTGGCCACTACCCTCCCCCCCCCTTCCACCAAATAGGATTTTCGAGTTTGGACAGTTTAATTTTCCCTTTTTTTTTTTGGTTGTCAAACTTTTTTTAGGTAGGTAAAAAAAAAATTTTCAGGTTGGCCCCCCCACTTTCAAAAACGATGCTACGTGCCTGCCCTTAGCATTGTTCTTGTAAGTTGGGGCCTAGCTTAAAATTTGACGAGTAATTAATAAACAAGCTATTTCAAAGAATATGTGTCCCCGATTGAAGGAAAAAAGAAAAGCATGCGCGGATCTAGATTAGGGTTTAGGAGTGAGGCTTAAAGAAGTGAGAGTGGGGCTTTATGGAGTTATATGCTGCGATATTTCATTCCAAAAGCTCCAATGCTTCTTGATATATCGCCAAGAAGTGAAAGTTTCACACACAGACACAATGCAGTAGTTTACGACATTGACCTTTTGACCTCAAAATATATACAGGGCTTTATTGGGCTATAGGAGTTGTGGTATAAAATATTACTGGAAAAAAAAGTACTATACTAACTTTAAGGTTCAGGATATAGGGCAGAAATTAAAGCACTAAAACAAACAGAATTAGTGTATTTGTGACCTTGGCCTTTGACCTCAAAATCAATAGGGTTCTTCTTTAAGCCACAGGGTGTTATGTAAAATTTCACTGCAAAAGTTTGAAGGCTTCAAGTAATCTCCAGATATCGCGCGGAAACAAAAGTGTAAGAGACTACCATACAGACCGAAATTAATACCTCCCATTTTAAGTGGATGCGGCATAAACAATTACTTGACAAAACTCAAAAAATTCTATTTCATGTGTATGTGAAGGGAAGTCTCTACGTTTCAAACAATTTTATCTACTGAAATTTGCATGCGCTCCTTACAGAAAGGCGGAGAGCAGAGCAAGATTAAATGACTGTTTACATAGTTTAACCATATCGTACTATTCTTAGAAAAAAGAGGGGGCGGGCCCCCGCGTATTACAGGCGTGTACGATTAAAATTAGAAAAAATTACATTTATGGATAGAACAATTTCATTTTTTTTCTCTTTCCCTGTTGAAACACTTTTTATTCTCCCTCCTCTCTTTCTGAAATCAACATTAAACGTGCATTATTTTGTGGTGATGTTATTATGATTTTCCAAAAACTTCCCGCAGAAAAAAAGGAATCGAAAATAAATAAAACTGATGAGGTTAAATATTTATCAGTTATCGGCATATCATGTCTATTTACATCGATCTGAAAGCGGTTACTCTCAATAAATATCATAGAAGTATTTACTATCTTCGTGACATTCACTGTTTCTATGTTAAGTACCACACAAAACCACTAGCTAAATAACACTTACAAAGAAAGACATTTATATTGATATTTATCCCCCAACACTGCAATCTTCAACCCTTTATGTCGTGAAATGTTATGTCAATAACTACAAAAATTAGTAACCGCTTCCATGTAAGCCCGTTTTCCCCTTGGGATTATTACTTCTCCAATTAGATTTCATGAAAAAGACTGGTCTGTGGTTTTTTCCGTTTTGTAAATCAATCATGAATGTGCAAAGAAATGGTTGTCCTTCGTTGTAATAATAATAAAAAAGGTGACAGTTTTTGTACGAATCAAGTGGCGCCTATTTATCTGGATGTTGCATCCATTCTGTAATCTCTAGAACGCCTAGCTAGTGTGTCTAGAACATCACAGAAAGGTCATTCAACGGCATAAAGAATCTGCAAAGACATTCATGTATATGACAAAAAATAAACAAGGCGCAATATTTTGTCCAAATATGCAAGTGACCATTCATACACTCCTTAAACTAAATCAGAAATTGTCTTTTAAACAATATACGTTCAGAGCATTGTACATGTTGTAGCTGACTTTTAAATATCAAATAAGCGACAATAACATTTATATGAAAAAATTAAAAAAGACACACCAAGTAGGCCAATGTTTTTATTGTGAACACAGAAGAGGTCATACTACATGTAATTTTACTATTATCATAAGTTTTTCTTATGTGGCAGTCCTCTCCGATACCGTCAGAAATCTTCAGAATTTCATTTGATGATAAAGTTGTAAACAAGAGTCTTTCTTATTATGCCCGAGGTAAGCATTGCTGTTCATACTGTCGTCTTTGTTTTCTTCTGTTGATGCCTGTGGCCGCAAGAATCTTCAATATATCAAGGCTGGTATGTGATTAGGGGATGGACGAGGTGTAAAATTATAGGATTCCCTCTCGTTTTACAGACTTCATCGTTTGATGTTGGCTCTATTATGGTTTACAGTTACTTATTATCTGGCAAATAATAAGGGATAGCATACAGCTCTGGACACATTATAGAACCTGTTCCGGAAAGCGTTTGTTTCACTTCAAGTTTCTCAATGGTCATTAGTTATAAAAATAATAAGCGGTCGGGTATTATCAAAAGTTAAGCATATTTCCCCTCATGATTTATGGATGCTTCAAACTATGTGTATTTTCTTTAAAACTACATTTTATCACTCATTTGTTGAAAAAAATATTGTGTAATACTCAGAATTCGTAGTTGAATTGGTGATTTCTTTTGATTAAACGGAATCCTCATCTCATGTACTTACAAGTAGCGATTCTGTCGATATATTATTAATCAAGGCAACATTTAATTACAAGATATGTAGGTGTGATTATTTATTCGTGCCTTATCATAATATCGATATACAACCCGAGATGAAAGAAATCGCAAAATTACACGAAAGAGCGCCAATATTTATAATCTCAACGGTGGGGATTTTTAATCAGTCTTGGTAATTTTGAACAAGGTCTTTTGGGTCTGTGTCTTCGTTTCCGATGCAATTAAGCAAATGACATGACATTTTGTGTGTAACCTCAGTAAAAGCTACACAACATTTGAGTACAGTAATTAACGGCGGTGTACATTTTTCACATCCGTACCCTATATCAATATTTGGAAAACACTATCGATAGCTTGTAGAAATCGTCATCAATGTTATAAACAAATATTTATTAACAAATATTCTCTGATGCCTATCCTTGTCCAATTATGGGTTTATATAAAGAAAAGAACTTGTACTAGAGGCCTGTGTCATGACTACCATATTTGCTCCATGATAAAACTGCTACTATGAATAATAACATTCAAAGCATAAACCTAAGTCGATTTGCTAAGAACATTTCGAGCATTTTCCAGCCTGTGAAATCTACATCACATACATAATTATCAATAAAGGTTTTATTTTTTGGTAATAAAAATTAATACATGTTCCCTTCTATTTTCATAAGCTGCATTTGAAATTTTAATCTTCTTCGCGAGACACAATAACCATGTTTACGTTCATAATAAAAACATCAATCCTGTTACCTTATTAAAAAACACATGATTTAAATCTCTTTAATTTTATAGTTTAATGTCTTTCATAGAAAGTCAAATTACTCCGAAAAGTCAAATTTCGTCCAAAATGTCCCTCTACACTTGTTTGCCACACATGACGGTCTACTAAGGATAATGGTCTCCTACACCAATAACATGCTTGAAATGAAATTTCTGTATTTCATGACGGTAAAAGAATTGCAAAGAAAGGCAGCATTATGAATACTTTCTTCGAAATTTCATCTAAAATGCAAATCAGATTCCTCCATTCATTTTATTCTTTTTAAAATGAATTTTTAGCAAACATGATTATTTTTTTAGTGTTTGTGTTTGCAGTTATTTATTGATAGAAGATTTTCTTGAATGTTGCTGGGCATTCGAAAAGTGCCTTTAAGGAATTTATGAAACGGCTGCATTTCATTTCCGATTTTTGGTATTTTTTTTAGTGTTTTTGTGTTTGCCATCATTTTTTTATTTATTGAATTTTTCAAAGTGCGATATTAATAGATTTAATAACTTATTTGAAAACATTAAAGGATTAAATCATAATTTTCAATTTTGTAATCTATCCGTGACTTGGATGTTGTGCTGTCACTGACATTTAATTTAGTGCAATTTTATAACACTTTTACCAAGAAAATATATGACAGTTTTTTTTTATTATATTTTATTAATATTTTGGTATAGAGAGATAGAACTACATTAAATGAAAAGAAAATTATGTCTCATTATGAAATAAATAGGAACCCTGAAACATTTTTATGTAAAGGTAGGTCATCATATCATTGTGAATTTTAGGATGGTCATATACTAATGGACCAAGAACCGAATAAAACATCAGTCTGAGGTATTTGCGAATGCGATGAATGTAAATGAATGTTAAGCCACTGTTTCATCTTGTTCTAGTAAAAATTCGCCATGCAAGTTTTTAAATAAATGTTTTAAGTGGTTGTTTCGTAGATAGTTTAGGGTTACAGACGCAAAAGACAAGAACCGACAATGAATTCCTAATAATCTAAACTGTAAACGTGATCTCTCTGGCCATGGTTTCCTGTTTGTTAACGTAACACAGACGCGACGAAATGCAATGACCGCTTGCCAGGCAATGCCTGTTAATTGTATTCTCTTCGTTCATTACTATTTACCACTTCATTGAAACTAGAATTGACAATGTCAAACTCTTTGGTCAGGTGTTCTTTTTTTCAGCTTGGAGTGATAAATCGATCACAGTGTGCTTATGCAGAATATCGCCGTTGTTTTAAAAAGGCTAAGTAATTAAGACTACAAGGTCTAAGCTTTAGACAATTATTTTTAGTAATTTTTTTTCTCTAATTCCTGCTTTTGATATTAAAGTGTCTTGATTAATGTCATATCAAATTTTATTATTAGTTGTTAAAAAAGGTATTTCTCATTGCAGATCACTGAAAACATCAAACGGATCAGTGGACATGTGGCCTGCGAACTATGCTAATATAGTGTTTGGATGTATTTGTTTAATTCAAGTATTTGTATTTGCCGTTTCACAACACCTCGATCTAAATAATGAGGACCTCACGAAACATTTGGACAATATTAAATTTTTAAACAAACAAACGGAAAAAGGCTCTCCAAAACATACAGATAATTCCTTTGACTTTGAAAATAGTGATTTAGGCGAGCTAACCGACGAAGACAAACGTGCGCTGGACAGATATTCATTTTTCGGGGGACTTGGAAAACGCGGACTCGATAGATACAACTTCTTTGGTGGAATTGGAAAACGTGCTTTGGATAAATATGGTTTTTTCGGTGGTATTGGAAAAAGAGCCCTTGACCGGTATGGATTTGCTGGATCATTGGGAAAACGAGGTCTGGATAGATACTCATTTATGGGTGGAATCGGCAAACGTGGTTTAGACCGGTACGGCTTTGCCGGGAGTTTAGGAAAAAGGGCTTTAGATCGATATGGATTTATTGGTAGTCTTGGAAAAAGAAAGCTTGACCGATTTGGATTTATGGGAGGCTTGGGTAAACGTCGTCTGGATTCCCATCGATTTTTTGGAGGACTCGGAAAAAGAGCGGCGGATCAGTACGAAAACCAAGGCGCGGCATCCTCGGCGGAAACCGCTAAATTGTACACAGGTGAAAAACCCATGCAAAAACGATTATATCCTTACTGGTACTACCGGCAAAGTGGAAGACCAATATTCACCCAAACTAGAGGAATAGATAGGTTCTCCTTTGCTGCAAGGCTTGGAAGGAGATAATCGGAGGAAAAAATGAAAGGAGACGATTTTAAAATGGTCCAGAAATTAATTGAAACATATCTACCTAACTTGTTAGTAAAATATTTCCTCAGCCTTAAAATTATTCTTCATGCTGGAAAAATAAAGTTTCTTTGGTGCTTTGGGTATGCTGACATATTGTGGGAATTCTTTTATAGAAAGAGAACAATATGTACTCTCTATTTTGTTTATTTGGTTTTTCAGTTTGAAATACCAAATATTTGATATTTGAGTTTAACTTTGTAAATCATTCTTTGTGATCAAAGCGCGAGCACTAATGCAATTTCATTATCAATTAAATTGGACATGGTTACATACTTGTTCCTGATGGCATAGCATCAAATAATTTTTGGCTAAATTCTTTGCCAAAAACCAGTATTCAAATTGCCGTTTTCAAATACAAATTGTATTATAATTACTCAGTCTTTGAATATATTTTAAACAGGCAACTATTTGATTAAATAAGGTTGAAACCTTTTGTATTCCTTGTCTATTTTTGGGGGGTTATAATTTCCACAAGTAGATACACCATGTGAATAAAGGTCGACCACATTATCTGTAATTATTACATACATGCGCTTTTCCAATACCATTTGCTTCATAAATACTCAGTACTCAATCTATGACCAAATTTTATATAGGAAAATCTTAAGGAAAACAAGGATGAAAATTTCATTATGGCCCTCGTCTATTTTGGCTATGATTTCCAAATGTGGATACACACCATGCGAAAAAAGGTCGACCACATTATCTGTAATTAGAAGAGGTCGCCAGGGAGAAGAGCGGTTACTTGAGTTACAAGTACTGGTAATTTAAATACGATACCAAACACATGGTTGTCCTGCTATTTTTTACGTGGGTCGAGACGGAGCAAGTCAAATGTACTGTTAAAGAAAACATGATACTCTTTACCAACAACATGCAGATCTTCTTTAAAACAGTACGTCATCATCCTCATAGGGTTCAAGTTCCAAGTGAATGTGTACGAGTTCAAAAGTAAATGTCAAAAGTGTTGGTACTCAAAGGAAGGTCTTGTTACAAGGAATACACCTGTGAAATATGAAAGCCCGAGTTCTAACTGTTCCAAATTATGACCAAGGTTAAAGCTATTTAAAAGGGTGTCAAACTCTTAAACTCTTAGGTCAAGGTCAAAAATATTTATACTAGCTGAAAGGTCATGTCACAATACACATGTGAAGTCCGAAAGCCCTATCTAAAATTGTTCAAAAGTTATGGCCAAGGTTAAAGTATGGTACTTTTTTGTAAAAGTGGGTCAAACTCCAAGGTCAAGAGGTCAAATTTGGAGGTACCCTAAGAAAGGTCTTGTCACAAGGAATACACCTGTGAAATATGAAAGCCATAGCCAACCCATTAAATACTTAAAAGGCTAGGTTAAAAGTTGACAACAGACAGAGAGACAAAACAGTATACCCCCGGGATCCGGGGGCATAAAAATATTGTTACTTACATTTGTAGTGTATAACTTGCACATATAAAACATTGTATATCAACAAAGAAACTTATTTTAGCTGTTTCAGTCTTGCTCTACTTATAAAATTAGTGTGTTGGTTTCTTTCGACATGCAGCTTCATTTGATATTCAAGATTCAGTTCGTGCTATGCACTAATTAAGGTCAGATATACTGTTACAGTTGATCAATCTTGACATCAAATACTTGGGTATTAGATCAAAAGGTTATATCATAAACTTTAACGGGATACGGTTCATCGATCAGACAAAATAAACCTTGACTCTGTGACACACTCTGTTCCTTGTCTCGACGTCTGTTTGATTTTATTCTTTTCAACTCAGCAGTGCCTTTCGGAACAGGATGCAAGTACCATTAGTATGTTAACGTGTTGGCTACCCTTCCAAGGATTTCTTTCAGGTTTTTCTAGTTTCTTTGTAAAAGAAACCTGTCCTTGAGTGCACATTCACAATAAGCCGAGAAACTCTTTAGAGGAAACATGCTTTGAAACTTTATTGCTTTTAAAAAAGGCATGCTAGATTATGCTATACTCTTGAGTTATTAAATGACGGGGTAGGCCTTTATCAGAAATATATTTTAACCATACATGAGATAAAATCTTAATTTAGAGCTGCGATGCTAAATAAAGTGACATGCGAGACTAATTTCACATTAAGATGCACAAATGAACATGGAATTGTCATCAGATACAACATCATCCAATACAACAGTTTCAATGGGGAATAAGGCTCTTTATTATATAGCAGTGCAAGTTTACTAAATAAGCTCATCGAAATAAATGTTTTTATTTCGTAAAGTTTATTCGATTTTTTTTTTCGGATAGACATACATCCTGATATTATACAAATAATAGTAAGTTTTTTCCCTACGACTATGTTTTTCACTAAGAGTTAATTGCTTGATTGAAGAAGAGGGATGGTGGGTGTAAAACCACAAAATTTTACCTAACACAAGGAAGTATGTTCGTGAATTCTTCAAACTTTACCGTTCTCTAGTCAGATCCGCGCGCTCATTGCACTACGACGTAAAGAATGGAGGCGTACAAGGCGAGGACAATACCCCGCTCTGCGAAAAGACATTTCTCAATTCTAAAAGTTCAAGAAAACTATATTTTTCAAAATAATATGGTTTATATCATCTTTTACACATTTAATTCTGTATTTCATTGTTTAAATATTTTATTATTAATTTATTTTTCACTCGTGTTTTTTAAGATATAAGAAAAGAAAAAGATTCAAGTATGCTTCGACATAGCGCCTATCCGAGAGAAAATGGTTAGTCATTTTTTTCAGAAATGTTCGTTTTTATAAAGAATGAGTTCAGATTCCATTTTTTGGACAACTGATTGAAATAGATTTCACATTTACGTTTAATAAGAATATAACTTTACACACACACTTTTTAAAGTGCGTGAAAATGCGTGATTGCGGGGAAACGGTATATGCGTGATTTTGTGTTAGAAATAGGAAATGGTATATGCGTTAAAATGCGTGACTGAGGGGAAGAGGGTTAAGCATTAACGAAGAATGGAGACTTGACCCATTCATGTTCAAAATTCATTTGTTATGGCTTTAGTTAACCCATTTTCAACTGAATATGCTTAACTGCCAACTTTGAAAAAAAGATTGTCAAATAATAAGTCGTTCAGTAAAATAAAATGTTTTGAATTACTGAATGATTTTAAAAAATATAACTTTTCCGTGAATTAAAAAATTTAAAGGGTAAATCTCTTTATGCCACTCAACGATTAGCCTATCATTTAGTGTGGGAGTCACATGAGGGATAAGAGTAAGTCCTTGCACAAATATTCGACTCTTTAGGGTTGGTCTCAGGCCTATCCGAGAGAAAATTGTTAGTCATCGAACTCTGATTAACCCAGCCTCCCCCCTTTTCCACTTTCGGTAGAAGTGGGGAAAATATTAATGCCTCGCCCAGTGAGGCATTTTATCCCTGTAGGTAATGTAAAAAAATTAAAGAGTAAATGTTCAGATATTGGACGAGGGATCTTAAGAAAAACTCAATTAAATGTACTCTGTATATGTTTTCTGTAATTGTTATCTGGTGCTGATTAACCCATGATCTATCAATATCACATTAGTAGAACATGGTTCAATTATATTTTCATGCACTGAGATAGCCATAATCTATCAAAAATTCATCATACCAGGACAAATAAAAAAGGAGTGCATGATTTGCAAAGTATTTTTTTAACTTTCTACCTCGCCATTCAAGGAAAAAAACTAATTAGAATCCAGTGTCCAACAGTGTGGTTACAAAAGGCGTTCCTGAAACTGAATCCGCAAGTGAAAAAGCTGAGCTTCCAAATATTTTAGGTCAGGATCATTGTTTGACAATTGTGTATTTCAATTTTATCCTTAAGTGGCTGTGTGAGCAGTGAAAAATATCCAGTTTTCTTGCAATGATTTATAATCCGAGATTCCTCTGACTCTTACCCCTGCTTTTTATATTGTGACATGTGCAGGGGAGAGTCAGAGCGGAGGCCATATTGAAATGTGGAATTCAGCGATACCAACTGGTGTCACGACTCTGCCTACCTTTTACACATTTATTTCGTTGATCTAACTCCCGAGACGCGGGAAATCAGTAAAGGGATGATTTTTCTACAACTTAATCGTCATTAAAAGGATGCTATCACCATCCAAGCGAACCTATCACCGACAAATGAAGCATAACTTGAATTCGTTCGCCTCCTCGCCATTCGACTTCTTTGCGCATTACGTCCCAAAACTTACGTTACACTTTTATTCATTTATAACTTTATCGAATCAAAAGCATTCACAAAGATATTATTTGTCAACATCTAGTGTATTAGCATACATTTTATTTGACAATTTTTCGAGAAATTCTGCTTAAAAGTCAGGTTATTATGATGTCCTAATGACGTAATCATATTTTTAATATGGAACCTTCATGTGAACAACCGGTAGAAAATGTCAGTCTTTGGTATGGGCCGTATAAATCTGTATATGCCATCTGTGTACTTTAGTCATAAGAGCCATGAGAAAAGAACATCTTGTAATGAAAGTACTCAACAGAATACATGTACTAATTTACGGTTTTGTGAGGGAGTTTGAAGTTAAATACACCATAAATGACATATGATTTAATTCTGGTATTAGAACTAAGTACTAGTGCCTGTACCAAAGAGAACATTAATACCATTGATAGAGTTATTACTGAAACTTTATGAAATTCCCTTAGGCGGATCCTGCATGAATAAGATAGCATCTTGGTTAATCTAAATAAAATACTCAGATTTGATATTAAAATTGATTCCTTGCAAGATAAGTGAATTGCAGCATTTGAAAGAAATTAGAAGTCGTTTGAGTTTGCCCACTGAATTAGACCCGACTCTGAAAATTTAACAGATGCATGGTTTACTGATGAAGCCCACTATTTTAACAATGTTGTTCAATAGAATCTTACATTCTATTGTTTGGTGAAACCAAATTTTAATGTGAAGAACCTCTAAACTGTTAGAATGTTACATTTAAAGCTTGGTAAAAAAAAAACCTTCATACATCGTATTCAAACATTGTTAATTCAAAGGGACGTCATTTGAAACATGTTGTAAAATGACAAGTTATTCTAAAGAAAAAATGTTGATGATTAATAAGAAATCTGTGCAAATGTATGCTTTACAAAAAACTATGATAACAGTTTTATTTTTTAAATTT